ACGTGAAATAAAGCCAGAGACAGGGTGTGTTTGTTTGCTCCTGCTCTTTGCAGTAGGCTCCAGACTACAGAGATTTGTGCTTCAAGCCTTCAGTAAGACTTGGAGAAAAATAAACAAACAAACAAACAAAAGTAGCTCTGGGAGTGGGTTGTCTTCCAGAGTCTGAAATTAGACCTCTTCCAGCCTAGGCTGATCCTTCCCTCACTTTTGGTATACATAAAAATATATTGCAGCCAGCAGCTATAAAATTCCATCCTTCTATCTGGTCTGAAGAGATAGAATTCTCTACCATTGCTAATCACAGAGGTTTTTTGTTCACTCAGAAATAACACACAGAATCCCTTGATCCTTTTTAAGGTGCTTTTTCAGACTTGCAGTCTCCAAGTACAGCCCAAGAAGGGACGTGTCCTTATATCCAGAGGAGACAGTTTCTTAGGGAAGAACTCAGTGCCACGAGCACTGAGGCTGATCCAGAGATCTGCTGAGTTGTGGATTTGCATTCTTCACTACTGGGAGCCACGGGATCTTCTGAGACTGCCAGATTACATTTTAATTCCCCTTTTAATTGCAAAGCAGTCTGCTAGAAAATGGGAATCCCTCCTGTTGGAATTTTCACAGGGAATGCCCCCATTTGATAATTTCTTTTCAGGAAAGAATGATTTTCCCCATGGGATGAATCAAAAAATCAAATATACAGAAAAGCTGCTGCTTTACAGCTTTCCAAATTTGTCTTTGCAAAACAAAACAAATGCAGAAGAAAGGGCTTCCCCTCTTACACTAAGTACGTTACAGCCAGAAGGGAAACAAATTTGTTATCAGGTGTTCTCTCACTTGACTCACTGATAAAAGGAGAAGTGTTCATCTCTCTTCACAACTATAAAAAACTGGAGGGGGGTGGTGTAACAGCACAGACAAACAAACCACACCCCAAAAACTCAGTATTTCCTCACCAAAAAAAATATGAAGAGAATAGGCTCTGTCCAAAGATCCCCAGTCCTGTGACAAGTTGTTTTTCATCCTCTTGTGGTTAAAAGAAGTCCCTAATTCTTCCAGAACCCCCTCAGTAATCAGTGCACTGGTTGTGTCTACCTACATCAACCAATTTCCTGTCAGATTTGCACATGGATTTTAATCTTTGGAATGTGCCTCTTCATCCCTTTGCATTCAGGGGGTGAGAGTGACCTGTTTGTGGGTCCTAATTGCAGGTGGAATAAATATTCCAAGTGTGGGCAATCACACATGGCAGAGCTCTGTCTCTGGGGCCAGTCTGGCCCTCCTTGATGCCACAGCAGTGTTCCAGCTCTCTGCATTCCCTCATCTCAGTTTAGGTGTCAAACCTTCTCTCCTTTTCATGAGCACACACAGACTGAAGAGCAGAATTGCAGGAAATTAAGAGAGGCAACAAGAGGTGAAAGGAAAAAATTCACAAAGCCACAAACCTTTGTTTCTTTTCCACCTTGTACTTTTTTCCTTCTGCTGCACAAAAAGCTGCAACTGGACAGTCTTCTCATCATTTTCCACTCACCAAAACAAGCTCTCTACCCTGACCTGACTCATACACTTCTTTTTGCCACGTTCAGCTTTGTGATTTTTTTGTGTCAGTTTGTAGCTCTCAAACCTGTTCCATTTTGTGGCTATAAACTGACTTTTTTTGGTTTCCCTGCTGTGCTGTAGATGCCAAGTTGGAGGCCATGCCAAGGCTTTGTAGTTTACAATGGAAGTGCTGATGAACAGAAGCTGTTTAAGGCTTTCCATCCTGCTTTTTGGGAAGGAATGGGTTTTAGTGAAGGTACTTCTGACACTGGACGCTATTTCAAAGTTGTGATATTAACCACCAAATATCTGGATTTGCACTGCTGACCCTGACAGCTCCCAGTGCTTGATGGTTTTAGGTAAGGCTGGGGTTCCAAGGGCTGTGTGCCAGACATTGCCACCCTTTGCTTTTTTTTCTCTCTAGAGAGTCTCACTTTAAATTTAGGTCTATTTTTACCAAGAATTTGATGTGGTCATGCCTACATTGCTGTGAACAGCCCATCAGAAAAAGAAATACCAGATCCTTGTCTTACATTCTTGCACCATCCAGGATATTTCTGCATCTACACCTTTGATATTGTTACAAACCAGTTTAAACACAGAAGAGCAAAGAAAACTAAATCGGTGCATAAAACAGATCAAACCCTGAAAGATTCAAAATCTACCCAAAAAACACTATTAAAACCAAACGGGGTTAGATGCTGGTGCCAAATAATTATATATTTTATTTAATAGTGAAAGAGGCCAAGAGAAAAAGAAAGAAATAGAAAAATAAAATGGGGGTGGGGGTGGTGGGGTGGTGGAATGGACAGGGAGAGAGCAAGAAGGGTTAGGTGGAAGCAGATCACCCATCCAGGGGGGTCCCAGCGATGTCCCTCTGGGCAGTGAGGGTCCTGTGCCGCCTCAAGTGCAGAATAGCCCCACGGCTGCGGTCCCCACCCCGAGGGTGGTGAACTCGATCCCTCTGAGAGTGTATCCCCTGAGCTGAGCCACTTTATCTTATCTCGAGTACTGAGCAGTGCCTTAGGCAGGGCGTGGTGGTCTTCTCTGCAGCTTTTGTAGTACAGTTTTACTACAGTAAGTAAAAATCCTTCATGAAGATGTTTAAACCATAAATTATAAAAGTTCTGTGTCCGACAGACACCCTTCCTGGAAGTCATCTTCCCCTGAGCATCCCTGGATGTGGGTGCTGGGAAAACTCTCAGTGCAAACTGAGAAGTAACTTGGCCCCTTTGAATTTTTTTCAAACTACTCTTCATGTGTCCGATGGAATATTCAGAATTGGAAGGGATCCACAAGGATCATCGAGGCAAAGTCCTGGCCTTAGGACAACCCCAAAATCCCAAGTTTCATTCCAGTGTGAAAGATTACATGAGTGTATATATAGCAGAAAAGTAAAAATATCCTTATTTTTGTGGAAATTTTATGTGTCAACATCATTTTCCATCTAGAAATAGCTGGGTATAAGCAAGTGGTAGTCCCAGGCTGAGAAAGGACAAAGTGGGATGAACTCTCCTGAGCAGAAGATGGAAGAAGGTGGATTTTAACTCCTGGCTGGCTCAACTGTAGGGCTCAGCTTTGTTTAGTGACTGGTGTGAGTTCTTCCTGTAACACGCCTTAAAAGGGAAGTTCTGATTGAGGTAGTGGTTTAGCTCTGAGTCATTCAAGTGAAATGCTCAGGCTGTTTCTCTGACAAATGCAAATCTAAATTCCTGAAAGTGGTCTCAGCCCCAAGATTCACCGAGTTTTGCCTTTCCTAGCTACAAATAACAGAAATGGGAAGACTCCTTTCCTGTTTCTTTACTCAAATTTATCTTTGCTAAGTGGCCTGGCTACAGGGACAGGAGTAGGAAGTGACACACTGAATACATCCAGGAAACATCTTTGTAATTACACTGTGTTTGTTACCATGGAGATCCCAGGAAATGGCATTGTTGATGTTTGCCTGTTAAGCACCAGATTCTGCATCTGAGCGAGGGGTTTTTGTCTTTTCCAATTCATCTTCCACCAGGGCTGGCTGACCTTTCTCCCTTGAGCCATAAACATCAGTAAAAACCAGTGCTGTGAATATGTACAAGTGTCAGCCTGAAGAATGCTCAGTAAGTCACAGGTGGCTGAGTGTTAAAAACCCAGAAAACCTGGAATAAGAACTGCCAACACAGACAGCAGACAGCATCCCCCCAGCACCGTGTGTACTACAATTTGTAGGGCAAAGCCATATTACTTGTAATTGTTTTATTGCTATTTAGCAGAATATATCTCTCAGCAGGAAGTGGGGCAGAAGGAGGGAGGGAGGGGAGGAGGAGGATCACAATAACTGGGATAGACACAGATGCTGGAGGATGATGTGGCAGTGAATGGGCAGCAGGCAGGAGTTTGCCTTCCCTGAGCAGGCTGCACCGGTGAGGCAGAGCAGCTGGATGAAAGCTCTGCACTCAAACATTGACAGGTTTTACATTTTCCTAGCAATTGCAAACTGTCATCTGTTGGATTTTCTAGTCCAGGTTACACAAGGCCTGCTAACAGCAAACTCTGCTAACCCTGGGTCGGATTTTATAATAATGTTTACACTGATAACTGAGCACACTAAAGGCTCTCATTAGAAGCTTGGGCAGCCCAGGCTGGGAGCAAGGCTCACTGTGCCCTCTAGTGCACTCTGCCTGCAGCTCCACTGTCCCTCAGCAGAAGGACACGAGGAGAAGGAAGATGAAGCTCTTTGCCCCAGCAGTGGCTTGGCACGGCAGATTTCTGCATATCCTGTACAGGTCAAGGACTAGAATGACACCAAAACGGTACCAGAGCCAAGACACAGCCCACGGTTGTGGTCTGGTGGAAGCTGACCCCCACAGGGGTGTGCCTAAGCACAGATCAAACAGCTGGGGTCCTAGGTCTGTATGGGGCCATGCTGCCATCTCACATGTTCCTTTCAGTTCCCCTCCTGCAGAGCATTACAGTACACTTCCAGCCCCAGGTTTCCCAGAAACAGGCCCTCTAGCAAAGCTGGTTTTTTTTGCCTTACATTGCTTATTGCAGAGGTGTAAGGGGGTTCTGGATGGTATGGTGCTTGTTCTCCCTGCACTGAGCTGTCCCTGGGACAGCAGACTTGGAAGGTGAAGACACAGATTCTTATCACGGAATATTCACAACTGGAATGGATGGACCAACAACGATCACCAGGTTCAACTCCTACGTGAATGGCCCATCCAGGAATCAAACCTGCAAAGTTGGTGTTTATAGCACCATGCTCCAAACAACTGAGCTAATCTCAAATTGTCTTATTTAATTCTCCAAGAATTTTGAAGAAAGTATTGCTCTCCTCCTGTGGTCAGAGAACCTTTTCTGTGCAACCAGTTTTGTGAGAGCCAGAGACCTTGTTATACCTGTAAGTGGGTGGGGCTGATGAAATAGATAGCAGGCTCTGGGGAGAGAAACCTTCTGAAATTGTTGCCTGGCTCTGATTTCCACAGGACTCTATGTACTGGTGGGAGCAGGGGCCATCATGTCAGCAGTTGGATTTTTCGGGTGCTGTGGAGCAGCACGGGAGTCCCAGTGCTTAATTGGAACAGTGAGTAAAAAGCTTCAAGGGCCTGGGCTGTGCAGGAAAACCATCCAATGCATCCAATGTTTGGTGTTGTTAACAGAAAGATCTTTACAGTCCAACACCTCTTATGTCCTTTTATTGGCTAATCCAGTTTCTCTGGACTCAGCAGCCACCATGCTACTGCAGAGCTGGCATACATGTAGAGATGCTCTTGCTTGTCCCTTGTGATGTATTCCCTGGAATTACCCTCTGATTTTCCTCAAGCTCCCTCTGAGCCACATCTTTGCCATCTCCCCTTTGTTTGAATGTGACAAGAAACCTGCCTTGGCAGCCCTGTGCAGAGTCTCCTCAGGAGCTTTGGTTCAGTGTGGGCTGTTGAGGCCTGGGGAGGACGAGGGGCTGGCTGGCAGGCCCTGTGAACAAAAGCTGCACTCATGTGACATTGTCTCCTTCCTCTGCAGTTCTTTGCTTGCCTGTTGGTGATATTTGCAGGTGAGGTCACTGCTGGAGTATTTGCCTTCATAGGCAGGAAAGTGGTAAGTAGCAAACAGCGTCTGATGTAGTGATGGGGTAGTTACAGATTCCAGTGCCCACTGACCTGGCTCTTCCATAGTAAAACTTTCCAGGAGACTTTTCCCTGGAAGACTCTCTGACATGCTTATCTGGAGCTTGTGTTATCACAAGTTTAGAATAGGATGAAGTTTTTGCCTCCTCTGTTCAGTGTAAAGTGGAGATGTGGTTCAGCCTTGAAGGAACATCAAGGGGAAGTGTATGAAAAGAGGCTATTCCCTGGGAGAAGGGCAAACAAATTTAGGCACTGAACTTCCCCAACTCAGAGTGTTTAACCAAAGGACAGAATAGAGCTTGTGAACATTCTTACCCTCTGAATGCCATCAGACCACAAACCCTCCTGGCTTTTGAGTCACAATACCTGCTCACCAGGCACAACTTTTTGCCCTGGAGGTTGAGGACACAGGTGAAAGTCTTGGACTGAGGGTAAGACTGATTTGCAACTCACTTCAAAAGTGTGATTTCTGCAGGCAATACAGGAAGCCCAGAAAATCTACGAAGATGCTTATGAGGACTACATGAAAAACCCAGTGGGGAAGGTCAACAGTACCATCTATCGCTACCATGTGGCTGTGAGTACTCCTCCACCTTAACACCTCACTCCATTGCTCCACTGTCACACTGCCCTTTAGAATCCAGAATTCCTCCCTCTGAGGTATGGAAAAATAGAACTGAGTATACTTAAAATCCAGTCAGAGGCTCACAACCCTGAGAGTTTCCTGAGGGCTCTGTCAGAATTCTGGGTTTTGGATCTCTACATTTGAAAGTGCAATTAGCCAGGCTTTGAAATTTCTGATGCTTCTGGTCTTTGTGTGCAGAAGAAATGACTGTTATGGCCCTTCTGGATATTGAAATACTCACAAATACAGAGAGAAGGAGAAATGTGTGCATCCCTCTGCATCTGTCTGGGAAAACGTGACCTGTGTCCCAGGACCTACAGTGTGTGGCTGAACCAAGTCAGTGAAAGACCAAAAGCACGTGTGACACAGTTCAGGCCACCCAAAAAGTGAATGTCTGAATCAGAGTTAGAACCTGTGACTTCTTTAATCCTGTTTGTGTCTGTCCTGGATCTATATTGCCTCCCATGGAGAGCAAGCCCAAGCTTTGTTGCTCCTTACAGCAATTCCCACGTTCTTTAGAACAAACATTTCACAACCTCAGACCCTTTTGTCCTTCTCCCATAGCTCTTATTTCTGACCCAAAGAGGAATTCCAAGCATTTTGTGGGAGACAGGCAAACAGGAAAAACAAACCCTCTGAAACTCTGATTTATTACTGTCTCCAAACCCAGCACAATGTTGTGTCAAAAAAAAAAATTCCAGCATTCTCTGCTGTAGCTTTTATGCATTGCCCACAATTCTGTATGTGATATTTGAACTTTCTGCATTCTCCCTTTAACAACTCCTGTTTTCTTGTAAGCCAGGGATCTGATTTTCCCAAATCCACTTGTTTGCTTTGTTATGAAATATTGTAATAAAAATCCCTTCTGGACATTGTTGTTAATACAAATCTGGCTGTTTGCTGTGGCCTCAGACAATTGAAACTAATTTTTGAGAATTTTGTCCCACGCAGTTGGAACTCTACCAAAAGCAGCAGTTTAAATATAGAGAATAAGGTTATTACTTGATCTGTACAGATTTTTTTATTTTAGCTATTTATTGTCTCACTTTCAGTATGAAAGTAATAACTGACCTCTAGTATGAACCAGTCAGTGGTTTCCCCCTCTTTCATCCTTCATTCTCTCTTTCAGCTCCAGTGCTGTGGTAAAGGTAATGTGGAGCAAACAGGATTACCCTGTCCAGAGAACATCCAGCTGCCAAAGGCAAGTATCCTCTGTCCTGCTTGTTCTAAACACTTTTTCATGTTGGTTTTTTAGTAAAATTGGAGACATTCTGTAAGTAAAAGAAAGGAAGAAGTTCCTTTTTACCTTGCAAATTCCAGGATGAAATTCCTTATGGAATGGAGCAGGGTGGAGGCAGAATTAAGCTGGAGGTCATATTGCCCTCAGTTGTGACATCTGTTTGTGGCATCCCATGGTAGCTGAGACAATACTGCATCATCTGAAAGGAAAAGGGAGAAGGAGGGAACAGAACAGGACCCCAAATTCCCCACGGAGGCTGAATTTTGGCAAGTGCCCACCTTAGTCGTGCATAGAGCCTTCTTACTAGAAACTTCATTGGTATTAAGAAAGATATTTCTATAATTTCTGTCTTTTCTGGAATCTGCTTGTGAGTTCAGTGTCAAAATGAAGCACCAAACCTCCTGATTTAGCATGGCCTGTTATATAAAGGAGTTTAAATTTAGGGAAAAAATGGAATGTAAGGAAATTACTTGCATGTGTCAGCCTTTCCAGGCAAGAGGTACAGATGCCTCACCAGAAAAGGGAAGATGCTGGGAAAATTATCCAGCAAAACCCAAAGTTTAGATGCAGGAATCTGTGACTGCACTAATATTTTTGTGTTTATCTGTTATTCAGTGAGAACAGCTGATAGAATTGATTGAAATACAGATTTCCAGGTATAAAAAAATATTTTAATTTTGTTTTTAACAGAACTGCCTGGTTGAAATTCAGAATGTAATTGATACTCATCTGCACTTAGTTGGAATTGTTGGAATTGCAATTGCTAGCATCACAGTGAGTAAAATCCATGCTCTCAAATCTCTCCTTGAGACCAGTACTCTGTCCCTTACTCAAAGCTTTGTGGAAGGTTTTTTGCAGCAGCTGGTGAGGTTACTCAATTCTTATAATTTCCAGTGTGTCTTCTCCCTGGGAATTTCCCCCATCAGGGCAAGCAGAGCTGTGTGATTGTGCTTTGCAAGCTCATTTTGTGTTCTTAGACAGGGTCCAAAACAGTCTTCTGTTGTAAGAGTAGGAGAGCAGAGTGCACATGAACCAAACTGAAGAGCAGAAGGCTGTAGCAGCATTTAATGTACTCCAAAACAACTGCAGGCTGAAGCTTTAAATTCTTGAGGATACATTCCTTAGTTTTCATGAGGAATAGAAAGTAGCCACTAGAGCTGTGACCAATAGATGTCACCCTGTCCCAAGGACACAGCAGGACCGGCATGCTGGGGCTCACCAGGCTTTAGCACAAAGCTTTTTCCAGCATGTCTGTGCCATCACTTCTTTCAGACTCAGACACCAGCAGCACAAGGAGCCACAATAGTAGTAAAGAAACACTCCTTTAGCTGCTGGGAAGAGCAGGACGTTCACAGATTGATGTGGACACTGAAAGCTGTGCATATCGGAAGGGTTTCTGCAGGTAACAGAAACCATGGTGTGCATATTAAACAATCCTGAGGTTTGTATGAAACATGAAGGGACTCAAAAATACAGCCAGGCAGCAGAGGTGAGGCAGAGATCAATAACATCAAGGACATACCAAAACTGGGATCATCTCCCCTTGGATCCCCACCTCAGACACAGCAAAGGTCCTGAAGTGACCACAACCTCTTCAGTGACAGAAATGCACCTGCACCTTTTCCTGTGCTTGTTTCTGCCACTTGCTGGGCTCTGAGAGCTCAGCTGTGCCCATCCTTAGGGAGGTTTGTGGGGAGGGGACACAAACCCAGTGCTTTAATTGCCCATCTCCCACCCTTAGCACTGCAGCCTCAGGAGGCAGCTGCTTTGGAGAATTGACCTGTAGCAAGAAAGCAGAGCCTCTGGCAACACTGTTCTCTGCTTTTATCATTCCCTCTAGTGAACAAGTTCCCTGACATGAGTGGGGATTCAGATTTAACGTATAGTCTTGTTCTTGAGCACAGGAATTATTCAGAGCTCAGCACCAGCTCCAGGGGCTCTGGAATCACCCTCTGCTCTTACTCAAATGTGTGTCATAGTCCTTGTAGAAGCATTTTGAAGCTCACAACACTCTGCTGCAATACTGAGATACCACCAATAGTCACAGTTATTATGTGACTGAAATTGATGTTAATAACATTAATATTTGGGGCAGTAGTGCTTGCCTGGACATTTAGAACAAAGAACAGTGAAACCTCTTCCACGTTTATTGTCTGATGTTTTGGGGTTTTTTGGGCAGTCACTACTCTGCCATAGGGACCTTCACACGGTCTGATATGCTAATTGTTTTATAACTGTTTTGTAAGTGGATCCCTAAATTACATCCCTTCTCTTCTAGATCTTTGGCATGATATTCAGCATGGTTCTGTGCTGTACGATCCGTAACATGAGAGAAATGATCTAAAACTGTCACTGCACAACTGTGCCCCAGGAGTTCCAGACTAAGCTTACAAGAAGTGCTCTTCTACCCAATTATTTAATAATTGTAATGCATTTTAATCAGTGTTTTAACATACTGAGAGGAAAATATCCCATTAGGTGATCAGGTGAATTGTATTAGTTACAATTAGTTACAGTAAAGCTGAAGTGAAAACAAAAAGGGGGTTAAAATGTCCTTTTTAATGGAAAAAAAAAAAAAAAAAAGCACAGGTGCATCTAAGACTAATTTGAATTTTAATGTTTGTATATGTGCAGTTAAGAGTTTACACATGTATAGATTTTGTGTAAGCACATGCATCTCTCTCCTTACAAACACATCTGGATGTGAGCAGGTCCCTGGATGTGCAGTACCTGTCTAGGTAAATACCTGCAGATGGAACACGCTGGGTGTGCATCCAGAGTGTCCCCATGTGCACATCCCACAGGGACACAGAGCTCAGAACCCTCTCACACGGAGTCCATTTGCCAAGAATTAGCAGAGGGACATATGCCATTGTAAAAAGTAAGACCTATGATCCATTTTGTGACTTTATTTTCCAAAACCCAGAGTAGAACTAATAATATTAGACTTTATTTTAAAAAATAATTAATGCCTAAGGGCCTGCTCCAGCAAACATGAATTCATGTGAGCAGACCCACTGACTTCACTGTCATGCAGAGACTGGGTATTTCTTTTTTGTAGGACTGGACCCTTCATGCAAATGCAGAAAGCTCTGGGGGAGAAAACACGTCCAAGGAGATCCAGGCTAAAGGAAGAGGGGGAAAGAGGTGGGAAGCTGGCAAGACCAGGCAGTCATTTGGGACCAACTGCAGTGGAAAGTGTGCTTAAGCTTCCCAAGCTAGGCTGAGATACACCAAAAACCCCAACTGTGAGTTCAAGGGGCCACTAAAATCCACATTCAGCAGCCCTTTTGTCCCAAAAGCCTCACTGTGGCTACAAACTGGTGCAGGAGTGGAGCCTAGGTCCAGAAAAGCAGCCCCTTTGCCAGATCTCTGGAGAATCTAACTGGCCTGTGGAAGCCAAACAAAGAGTGAAAGTGGTCAGAAAAAGACACACAGCACTTTAATATCCTCAGTTTCTGCTTCTGTGACTATCACAGCTTCCACGGGGCTCTTACCTCAACCTCTCGCCCTTTCCTGGGGGCAGAAGGCAGGAAAGGAAAGATGGGACATTTTTACAGAGCCATGAAGTAAGTTTTTTTACTGGCACCTTTAGATTGCATGTCAGGTGTAAAAATTACACTGTGTGCTTGAAATACCTCAGGGCTTGCGTTTACATAGTTTGTTTCTAGATTTTAATTTTTCTATTTGTTGTATTTATTCATAAGAGAATGTTCCTTTTGAACCAGCCTAGAAGGGAGAAAGGTTGTCCCCAGAAAAATAAATTACATCAAATGCTCAGGATCTCTTAATTTTTGGCTTACTCAAACTAATTCTTTTCTTACTCAAGAACTGCTTTTTGCTAACTATACCCCCATAGCAGCAGATCTGGTGATCACCACTTCAGATTCCTGATGCAGTTGTTCTATACATGATGGGAAGAAGTTCAGTCAAACTACACATTCCAGTAGACCATTGCCTAAGAGGACTTGGAATTTACAAGTCATGGGGTCCTTGTTCTGCTGAAACACAGTGGAACAAAATGAGATTTCAGGAAATATGTGTATTCTAGTGCACATTTTTGTGTGGGATGTGTCACCCTTTATCTATTACTTACTTTTTATTTCATATTCCCCTAGGAAACTCAAACTCCCATCAGTTTTCTTTAAGACTTGGGGTAGTGCTGCTCCTGCAAGTCTCTTGTTTAGTTGACATATCTTGCTGTCTTTTACATGGATTTCTCTTTTCCAATCATCCAACCATGAGCTGTGGCACTGCACTAAGAGCTGGGCACAGCAGGCACAGCTGACTGAGCTGTGTCCAGGCTGAGCTTTAGGCTGGCAGGGACACATGAGATCATACACCAGAAAAGAATCAGGCTTGTGTCACTCTGTCACAGCTGATTAGCAATGGATGTTAATTAAAAACAGGGCCTGGGACCTCATTCTGCAAGAACCAGTACAGGAAACAGGACCCTGATCTGCTGCTTGCTCCTAAGACAGACTCAGCTGGGAGAATGGCAGTGGCAGCAAATCCATGAAGGTCTCAAGCTGAAACTTAGCAATCAGTTTAACACAGCAGCCAGCAAAGCAATTTCCTGGCTCCCAGGTGTCCCTCAGACTGTCCCTACAATGGTTGATGATAGGGTAGTGCCCAGCTGGGATGTGTTGTCCCAAGGTAGTACTGGCAGAAAGAAGAAACTCTTGTGGAGTGTCATTTTTGCCACTCAGGACAAGTCAGTTTTCCAGGAAAATCAGTAAAAATAGCACCACAGCCAGTGGTTCAGGTTCCAAGATTGTTGCCCTACTGGGCTAGAAATTGATTGCAAATACAATAATCTCCTTGTGTTACATTCCCCCTCATAATGACAGTATTCTATTAATTTTAAACACATCTACACATAATTTGGTTTCATTCCTCAAATTCATAGCACCAGAATGTTATGACAGGACCAGTTTATCTCTTTATTTATTATTTCTTGAGTAAGTTGGAAGATGCCCACTCCTGCTTTGAGATGCACTGGATGCCAAGGCAGCTTGCAGAACCTGCTGTTGCTTCCCCAGCCCTCCACTCCCCCAGAACTACAAAACTACCCCAGTGCCTTAGGAAAATGGGAAAAAGTGGTAGAAAAAAACCTATAAATTCAGACTCCAGCCACCAAACTTTCTGTGGAAGTGTTTTGGGTTGGTGATTTGTTTTTTTCTTCCTCTAAAGAGGGCATTAATTTTCTGAGCATTCCTGCATAAGCTCTAGGGTTACTGTTATTTAGGTCTAGGGGATACTTGCACTGCATACCAGGAACAGGACAATACCTGTTACTGGTTTAGTTCTCTGAGTTATTGGTATAAATTAAGGTGGAAATCAATGTTATTCATATACTAGTGCCTTTAACAGAATCCAGGGATAAAGGTCTTTTGTAGTTTCCTGCTGTTGTGAGGTACTTAATATAATTGCAGTTTCCTCTGCATCTTAGTAAATGAAGGTATTTTTTGAGAGAGTTACTGCTGCATAAGGCAGCAAAAATACCCATTTATCCTGTCCTTTGTACCTGTGTCAGAGGAAAGTGACAAAAGATCATCTCCCTCCAGGTGACAGAATTCTGAAAGTACATCACACGTTTTCTTGTTCTCCTGTTAAACAGTTCGTTCTAAAATATAAAGATAGAAGTTACTGATGCCCTTACTGTGTCCCTAAACATCCTTATTCACATTTCCCTTGTCTAATTTTTCTAAGTAACTGATTTCCATGGGAGCTTCCTTTGTCACAGGGAAACCTCAACCAGTTTTGGTACCTCTCAGAGATCACAGAGCAGCTAATGAAGCTCAGCCCTGTGACATCCCTACAATGAAGAATCTTGATACTGATAGTTTTATAACAAAACATGTTTCACGTGTCTTGAAAAAGAAATTGAGTTGTCTTAAGCCCTCAAATGCTGTATTGTAAAGCCTTTGCAGGCTACGGATTAACAGCATCAGAGGTTGTTCATAGAAAATGTACATAAATAAAGCTTTTCAATCTTTTTCCTCTCTATTGGTGCTCCAGCCACGAGGTTCTCCAAAACACAAACCACTTCCAGGATAATGTGTATGGTACATAGCATAAATTCTGATTTTGGACAGAACTGGCGTATCGGTTCATGCTGCCAAGTCTGTGGCAGAATTACCTCTTGCTTTGAAAGAAAACAAACTTAACTCTGGCTGAAAGTAACTTTCACTTCCCTATGATGTGTTCCGAAGTGGCGTTTTATCGGCTTTGTGTCTTGAATTTGAAACAACTTCCTAATAAAAATAACCTGGAATAAACGACTCCCAGAGAGAACTCGATCCGCGCGGCCAGAGCTCCCCCAGGCCCGAGGGCACCCTGGGGCTGCCTCCGCCTCACCTGGGGAGGTGGACCTGGATGATGGCACCGGGTGGGCTCCATGTGACGGAGCCAGCGAGGCAGGCAGGGCCCCGGACTGGGAATCGGGACTGGGAATCGGGACTGGGAATCGGGACTGGGAATCGGGACTGGGATCAGTATCGGGACTGGGATCAGCACCGGGAGCCGCCGGGATCCGAACGCGGCGGCGCCGCAATTCCCTTCCAGGACCCGCGAGCAGGCGAGGCTCCGCCCATTGTGGGCGGGACAGCGGCGGTGCTCGCTCCCCATTGGCTGCGCGCGCTGCGGGCGCGGCAGCGCCACAATCCGGGGATGGTTTGGGCGGGAAGGGGCCCTAAAGCTGATTCTGTTAACCGGGGTGCTCCAGGCCCTGTCCAGCCTGGCTTCGGACACTTCCAGGGATCCAGGGGCAGCCACAGTGCCAGGGCCTCCCCACCCTCACAGGGAACAATTTCTTCCTAATATCCAATCTAAACCTACTGTTTGTGTGAAGCCATTCCCCCTTGTCCTCTAGTCCTTGTAGTCTCCCTTCTGGTACTGGAAGGCCACAGTAAGGTCACCCCGAAGTTTCTCTTCTCTAGGCTGGACAATCCCAATCTCCCAGTTGTGAAAAAAGAGGTTCACGTAATTTTTATAGAATTTTAAAAGTTTAATAAAAAAGACAATTAGGAGAAAAAAATAAAGCAAAGTATACAGACACGGCTGAGTGTCTCTGCATTCAGCCAAGAGAGCACACCTTACTGACAAAGGATTGCCCCTTAGAAACAGAATCCTACTACATATCCATAAATTCTCATATATATTCATACATTCTTCTTAGGATCTTTGGTGTTCTTCTGTTTAGTTTTCTCTTGCCCCCTTCCCAATAGATCAATCTTCTTGGCACCATCAAGATTTACATTCTCTGATACCAGAAATGCAATAAATTCCTCCCTCCAGAGTTCTGGTCACTGCTGTCTTCATCTGGATAAGATAGTTTACGAAAGAAAAAAAAAAGGGTCTCCAGCTATCTTTTTCAGTCTTTGGGTTATACAGACAAAAGTAGTTTTTGTTTTAATGCTATGTCATAGCTTAACATATATGTATTATACCACTATTTCTAACAGAAATAAAGGAAACTATGTTAATACAATAAAATTTCCCATTCTTATACACATAACATTCATTTTAATATTTGCGAAAAGCCAACAATATAATATGTAACTATAACAGTCTTTCCTCACAGCAGAGCTGTTCCATCCCTCTGATCATCCTTGGTGCCTCCTCTGGGCTAGACAAGTCCGTGTCCAATTCAGTGTGCTGGGGCTGGAGGCAGCTCTGCAGGTGGGGTGTCACCTGAGCGGGACAGAGGGGCAGAATCCCCCCTGAGCGGGACAGAGGGGCAGAATCCCCCCTGAGCGGGACAGAGGGGCAGAATTCCCCCTGAGCGGGACAGAGGGGCAGAATCCCCCCTCAAGAGCTGCCCACGGCGCTTTTCGTGCGGCGCTTTCCCGTGAGGAGCGGCGGGAGCGCGGCCTGTGCAGGCGGCACCGTGCCCGGGGCTGCGCCTCACGGCCCTCGCCACAGCGCCCCCTGTGGGCCGGGGGTGTCAGGCCGTTCCTTCCCTCACGGGGAACCGGGAGTAGCGCTGGCTCCTTCTCCTTCTTCTCCTTCTCCTTCTTCTCCTTCTCCTTCTTCTCCTTCTCCTCCTTCTCCGAGCTCCACGTGGGAATGCGTTGGGGTTTGTGTTTCTCCCAGCCTCTGCCGCGGAGAGCCGGGAGCAGACGCCACACCAGCCCCGGGCCTCACCAGCCCGTTCTGTGCTCTCCCCACCCGGACTGAGTTACGGACAAAAGGTGAAGATCTTTGGATTGCCTGCAAATCCATCGCTCAGTTGTGTGGAAACTGTCTTAGGATAAGTGGAAGGCAATAAATACATGTCTGTAAGGAATCATCACCTGAACAGGGATTTGTCACTGGGCCTGGGAGGGTCTTAAAGCTGAGCATGAAAACTGCTTGAGGGCCAGAGAGACGCAGTTCTCGGAGGGCATGGAAAGGTATGGTTAAATAGATGTGTTAGCACAGTGCAAACGTCTCAGTTTGGGTTTTTCTAAAGTGTAAAAGAAGGTACATTTAGTTACTTTTCTCTCAATGATTTTGCATAGGCATTAACCATAAAAGTAGACTTGGTTTTTATTTCTACTGAAGACAAATCTGTCAGGACATAAAAGGCATTACAATAACTTAGCAGTGCTGCTGGTAGTGTAAGTAGGACAAGTACCCTTTCTTTGGTTTGCTAACTACAAGTGCTGTTTAATAGTAAACAGAATTCTATTTTCCTGTGCTAAATCACAATTTTAACAGTCCAGACACCTTGATAAAGCTCTGGCTGATCTTAAAGCCGAACACTTTGTTTTTTTGGCATTTGCCAGATACCATAAGGGCTGCTTTGTTCAATAAATACCTCTTTCTCAAGTTTTTTCTACCATTCCTGTGTTCTTCACCAACTAGAGAGCAGCAGCAGTTCATGTTGCAGCTCTTGAAAAGCCTGGGAGACTACAGCTCCTCTGTGTGATATACAGGAGGGGCTGGGAATACCAGATTCTCACCACCAGAAAGTATTTGTACCTTATTTGTAACTAACCTTTCCTGCTCCAAAGAGTTTTAGAAATAGTCTTGTATAAAATTAGCTATAACTGGGTTGTTTAAACCATAGGTGCAAGGGATCAGTTTTACAGAAGTAGGCCTTAATCCTTACCCTGGATTTTCTGTAAATTTCAAATGTGTTTTTGGAGAATTTAAATTTTCAAACCTTGTCTGTGAAGGTATTTCTTTATCACCAAATAATGCATATGATAATTGCAGTTCATACCTTGTATAGAATCCGTGACACGTATTCTTGGATTATTTTGGATTGGTTGAGGTTGGAATGAACTTCTGGAGCTCATCCACTCCAAACCCCTGCTCCAGGGGTGCACCAGCCATTTCCCTTGGGCTTTCTCACAGCTTTTGCTGCAGATGAAATAGTATGAAGGTGTTTGGAATAACAGTCAGATTCTAGGAACAGTCATGAAAACTGCAATCCTGAAAGCAAGATTTTTCTAATGTTAAATTTCATATTTGTATCCTGTGAATTTTAGTTCCTTTATTTACTATTTCAAACAATGTGTGAATTAAATATCTGTAATTTCTTGGGAGCTACAATCTCAGTGGAAAGGAAGCAGTTGTTTCACATTAATTACATGCATTACTTTTCTTTATTCCTGTCTCTGCACCTCTCACCTGTGCATGTTCAGCACACAGGGTGGGCTCAGCTCTCCTTCCACTCCCAGGAGACCTGTTGACCTGTGGGGAAAAATCTGATTTTTCAGTTTTGCTTTCCATTTGATGGCACCACACTCGCGTTGTGGAGAAGAGAGCAGCCAGGTTGGAAGCTGCAGTGATTCCTCAGTGCTCACAGAGACAGGTGTATTTCAAACTGTATTTCAGCAGGGAAGGGGGCATTATGCCATTCATGTAGAGACATTAATGTAGAGAAGTATTCCCAATAAATACAAATCTGGACAACAGCGGGGAGGACACAGATTTGCAATGTCTAAATTAATATTACACAGATGGAAAAATACTGCTGGTAATTTGAAGGCTGTAAGCGTGTATCAAAATTTATTTAAAATGTTCAATACCAAGAGTGTGTGTGGCCTCTTTTCTGACTCTGAAATATATCAAGTGAAATATGTGAAGTCTGAAATAAATCAATATCAAATTCTGAAATATGTTAGTATATTGAATCTCTGAGCATCTCTTCACAAAATATCTGGGATTTGTGAGCAAAGGCTGATCCATCCACACAGTCTTGTTTCCTTCTTCCCCAAAGTAAATTCATGTGGGTTCTCAAGACAAACATGCAGCCTTTATGATTTTTTTCTGCCTGTCTCAGAACACCCAATTATTTGAAGCAACGAATGATATACCTTCAGAATAAATCTTTGTGCACGGCAGTTTGCAAACCGAATATGAAATTCACTTTTATTTCAGTTCAGGTGTGAGCAGAGTAGTACATTTCTCCTGCAGCCCACTGAAAGCTTTACAGGTTACAGAGCTTCTGTGGCTTAGTGCAGTAGTTTGTCCTGACCCTCTCATGGACACAGTCACTGTAGTCAGTGTTGCACTTGCCACACTTGCAGCTCACAGCCACGGGGTAGGAGTAATAGGGGATGGTGTGGTGAGGGCAGCCTGGGATCAGCGCTGTCCGGTACAGCATCTCTTTGTACGTGCACACGTTCTGGGACAGAGCACTCTTGAGGAGCAGCTTCTTGCCATTGCTGTCCTACAAAGAGAAGAGAAATGCGTTGTTTCACTGAAGCATGTGTGTGTCAGAAAGGTCCTGTGAGGTGCAGAGACCAAAATTCATACCTGAGCCCAGCTCTGGTACTACTGACTTCAGAGCTCCAATTGTGACTGGGGCTCCCTCCCCACACAGACACATTCCCCTTGACTTTATAGTTTAACTAATCCATGTGGCTCAGAGTGTTCCCTATGCTTTGTGATGCCTTCTGGCTCCCTGCTGCCCAAGCTGGAACTCAGAATGCTGTGTAGAACAGTGAAGTTGTGTGGAGTGCTGTGGCTGCTGCAGAGCTGTCCCCACAACCGAGATAGCAGCAGTGGGAGAGGTTACCTAAGTTACTTACATTAATTAAGAGTGACCCAATATAATCTGCCCCTCACCTGTTCCATCCTGTCCTCACAAACTGCCCACAGAGGCTTGGCATTTTTCACCCAAACCTTTGCAAAATGCTAACTTGAAGACGTGGTGACGGTGCAGTTCTTCTGCCTGTGATAAACTCTATGGCAATTAAATAATTTGCATGCTATTTTCTGGGAGAACAGAACCTTGTTTTGCAGTGGTGGCAGTTACAGAAACATCTGTATCTCGTACCCGAGTCATGCAGAATCCAGCGCAGATGGTGGTGTTGATGGCCAGGCAATAGGCACATTCCCGTTTCTCCACATGGATTGTGTACTCAGAAGGAGCACAGAGTGATGCTGTTTGTCCGAAAATCAGGCCAAAGAGGAGAGACATCACAAAGAAGGAACTCATGCTGGATGGGGAAGAACAAACAAACCACAGGTAAAATGGGATGTGCCTTCCATCCCTGTCCTTGGCATTTGACAGGAACAGCCAGGACAGTCTGTCCTGGTTAAGGTTAAGATTAGAGTAATCTTAACCTTTCTAGTTAGTCTGACAATTTCTTTCCAATCTCAGTCCTTACTGAAGTAATACTGACCATTAAACAGAGAACAAGAGCAAAGAGGCCATTAACAACACAGAACAAATTCACTTTCCCTCCACTAAACCATATTACACTTCTCACTAGTGAGTGATAAAATCCTGACACAGAACAAATAAGAAGGGCTGAAAGATTGGAATGTGTGACATGTAAGAGAACATGAGCTCTAGAATTAAGCAGAGATATTAAAATAATCTCACTGCTTTAAAACAATTTTCTCAAGAAAGCATCTTATAACATGTTAAAGAGACAAGAAGACGAGGCTGTGCATATCAGGCATAAAACTGGATTTTTCAATTTCCAGTGGTTTAGAGGCATGATAAGATGGGAACACAGCCAAGAATTAAATAATAGATTCAAGCAAATTACAATAAAGAACATCAGCAAAGAGTTCAATTCAGTGGATGGGGAGATCCTGAGAACAAAGCCTTGATTAACTCCAAGACAATTTCAGGAAACTACTCTAGAGCCTCTAAATTATAAACTTTAAATGACAGTGTCTACCAACATCTGGACATCACCCTCTAGTCTCTCCCAGCTGCCAGTTTCCCACAGCAAAGCCATCCATTACACAGGCTGGTTTACCCTGTATCTGCAACAACACCAGTCTGGAAAGACCAACCTCTTGTCAGCAGAATTCTTCCCTATTACAGGAACCTGATTCTGCCTTGAGCTTGGAGAGGCAGTGATCCAGCACCAGCTCTGTATGTGCTTTATACTCTCCAGGCTAATTCCAGGCTGATCTTACTGTTTATATAATTGCATCTGAATTGCTGCTTTCTTATCACAAAGTCATCTATTGAAAATTCATACTGAACCACAAAGCAAATGTGATAGGAACAAACGTGTCCATAATATCCTGACCTGGAAACTGGAGCTGGAAATCTAATTATATTAACAGTCATTCTCTCCTCGGGCTTTTAAACTAACCAGTGTTTTTAAAAAGTTGTTATTATTGATTAATTTAATTGCTCCATAGGGACAGCAAGACCATGGCAGGAAGGCTGGCATGGATATGGAGTCCTCCAGAATCACAGATGATGAGTTTTACATCTGTGTTTTGTAAAGGTTTAACAAGGTCTGGTTCACTGTGCATGCTCCTTACCAGGCACATCTGGGAGATGCTGGCCCAGGGTTCCCAGGGGAGCTGTGGCTGTCTCAGCCCTGGAAGTGTTCCAGGTCAAAGCAGCCTGGGAAAGTGAAGGTGTCCCTGCCTATGGCAGGGAGTGGGATGGGATGAGCTTTAAGTTTCTTTCCAACCCAGACCATTCTGAGGTTCTCTAAGTCTGTGCAGTGGCCATGAAGCAACAAACCTGAAATCAAACCCATTGCTCTGCAGCCTTCTCAGGCATAGCCTGACTTACCTGCTCAAGCAAAACACACTCAGAAATTGGCTGGCCTGGAACCTGCTCAGCAAATATTAAAGCAACAAGCAATTCACTCAGCACTGATTGACAGAGAAAAAACTTAAAAAATCATTCCTTGCAGCACAGTAAGAAACAAAACATTGCATCAATACCAATGAAACAATGTCCCCAGATGAGGGAAAACACTCACATTTGTGGGAGCAAGAGGGAGAAGAGGTCGACAAAGCCACTATTCTCTGTCAGCCCCTCCCTGAGCTCCTTGCCTGCAGCTCAGGGAACACGTGCCCCTCCAGGCAATCACCTAACTCCCATTTGGAATCTGATCTGATGGATGTCTTATGCAGGTCAACCACATTCCTTATTTACACAGCCATAAGAAACACAGAAAACATGAGTTTGAGGTGGTAAATATGGTCACTTTGAGCTATTGGAGAAGTGATCCATTTAGTCCCAATTGGTGTTCAGCTAATTCCTGAATAAGTGTCTCCTTTTCCTGTGGTTTCAGACAGGTCTGTGTCCTGGGCTAATTTTCCAAGCATTTTTTGGCAACCTAATAGAGATTTTGTTCTATTAAGACTAGCCAAATGTTTTCTGTTTTCATGGAGTCTTTAATTCTGGGTTAATTTGTAGCATATAATTTCTCAAGAATTATATATAATTACATTTAAAACTCTTTCTGGCTTAGGGATGTGAGCAGAGTATTAATTGTACTCTTTGTAACATCTGTCCATCTCACTTAGCAACAGGAGTGTAGCACTCACTTTGCTAATACTACTCCAGTATGTTATTTAGCTCTGTATTTTTCTGATATATTTGGAATACAAACAGGTTCTCTCAGTATACACTACACAACCCTCACATAGATAATGTAAACATGTATATATACACTGTACATACACACACACTCTACATACAAGTGTATGGGCTTGGTTATTAGAAGCTTTAACCACAGAAAAGAATGTTCTTGGGAAATACAGAGCATATTTCAAAGGACACAAAGAACCTGAAAGGAAAATAACACAATTAATAAAACTAAAACCTGGAGTGGACAAAAAGCTCTCAAAGTAAGAATTAAAGAACAGCATTCTCAAAGCAGAAGTGTCATGTGGCCCTTGCATGCAGAGCTGATTCTTTCCTCTAAAGATTCACAGCTTTAGGCAGTTGGAGGTGGATTTGTGCACCCTAGAGACCACCACATCCAGGTTTAAAGTGTCTCAACATCCCCCATAAGAACATAGGCAGAGAACAGGTCAGAGTGTAAGGACATGTACTCTTTGCTGCCTCAGAGTGCCAATTTCTCTGAGCTGAGAAAACTGGATGCAAAGCTGGGGGTGGGGGTAAGATTATGGTTTTAAAAAAAAATTTAAGAATTTGATTTAACAAGGTTTAGGGAAATGTCTGCAAATGTCAGTAGCAAATTGTAACGAGGCTTGAAAGTCATAATGATGATGAAAAAGAGAGTGCAACAATAAAAAATATAGCAACAAAAATAGAAGAAAACCAACAATAACTGTTTGAGGTGAGAAAATACAGAAAACTGTACAGGAAGCTGAAGAGTAGGAAATAAACTTTTGCCAAGACAGAGGCCAATAATAAAGTCAGGGAATGTTACAAGATAAAGACAAGCTGTTGATGCGGAGTAAGTGCAAAGGCGACAGCACTTTGAAGCTTTTGAAAACATAGTGGCTGAACAACCACATACACATTAACAACAAAAATTATTGTATAAATCATATAAGGAATAAATATTTTAAACTCAACATGATTATCTAGTTAATGCTCATTTCAACAACTCTGGAATACTGAGGAAATTTCAAAGCATTAAAAGAAAGTGCTAATACCATGGCAATATTTAAGGAGAGGGTGTTGACCCAGGTAAGTCTCCACCAGCCAGGTAAAATAACAGAAAATTGATACAGGATTTGAGCAATAAAGAATTAACGGATGAAAACATAATTACTGATGTTACATAAAATAGGTCATGTCACACAAACCCAATTTCATTGTTTGCAGTGATTACAAGTTGGGTTGATAAGGCAATTGCACAGATGCAATGTCTTTGGTTCCATCTGTGCAGAGCCCCCCTGTCAGGTTTAGAGCCCAGTGTGGGGATACTGAATGCTGGCAATTACCAACCACTGGAGCAGTCAGTTGCACGCTGCAGTGCACTGGAGAAATACCTCACCAAGGTTTCAGGATGAAAATTCAGGTTTTCTGGAATAGCAATAAATTACTGGAAGGGCAATAAATTATTCTGAGTGGAGCTTGGGACCAATGTGACTGCTTCTTATCAGCTCAGCCCCATGCTGATATGATCACAGAACCCCTTGGCTGCTGCCTTTCCCTTGCTGGCACCGCTATCCTGCCCATCTAAAGGGTGGTGTTCACATATCTTCACTAATTTACACAAACGACCAAGCTCCTAAAAAACCTCCTGGATTGTCCTTCTGGCTGTGACCAAGGAGCTCGTCCACTACGGACCTCTCTGATGGGAGTGAGATCCCACGAGCCACAGGGAGTAGCAAGATAAAAGACTGTGGCAGGACAACAAAGTCCAGTGTCAAAATTTGTGAGTGCCTGAGGCTTCTTCCATATAGTTTCCTAAAGTCCATCATCCACAGTCTGATGCTTATGGACCCATTTCTTTGGTTGCCCTCCTGCTGACCTGCAGAGACTCAGTGACAGAAATCTTTAATGTGCTTTTATAGCCCAGCCTTGCAGTCCTGTTCTGGAACAGCCAGTTACACTGTTAATTATTTATCTCTAACCTTTCTGTTAACCAAACTAATCTATTCCCTGACATCAGTAATTTTATGCTTTCATTAAGTGAATGATGGTGTGCTGATGTTCTACAGGAAGTGCTTCAAGTGATATCTGTAAATAGAATTTAGTAATTATAAAAACCTTGGGTTGATTCCCCAGGAGTCTCTGTAATGGGCTACAGAAATTCAGTGCATACCAGAAGCTCTTATGTAACAGTAATTTAATAGTATTCTCTGTTACTGACCAAATAAAATGCCTAAAATAAAATAAAAGGAGGAACAATGAGAAGTTACCAGATATTATTCCTACTCACTCTGCCTCTGTGGTATATAGTGGTATATGGATGATAAATATGAGCAGAAGCAGGGAGCACGGTGCCTGTGGAAAAGCAGGCCACATAATTTCTCAGTCTCGCCTGAGAAAGTGGCCTGGGAAATCATAAGGAGGAATTAAAACAATCTTCAGAGATAGAAGACAGCCTTGAAGGTGCTGTTTGTCCGTTTCTTGTTTTCTTGCAAGAGAAGGTTGAGGGGTGGTATACCCCACTGACCAATGATGGTAATAGTTTACTAACCAATAAGAGTTTTACCTTTCTGTACTTTCATGTATCGATCTATAAAAGATCTGAGGTAATAAACCTTGGAGGAACTCTCCTGTTCAATCACAAGAGAGTCTGTGTCGTTCTTCTTGTCATTCCCAATAGAGCGACAGTGGTACAACACAAAGAAAACTTCGTGATCTCATGAGCAGGTTACTTAGAGAGCACGGCTACTCTTCTTTCCATGAAGTATGCTACTGTAGATAGTAAAGTAAAAACATGTCCACACTTGCAAACAACCAATAATTGGAAGCTCTGCTGATGAAAAACAGAAAAACCCAATCAGATTCTGAAAGATGAGTATTCTGGTAGCGGAATTATCTCCAACTCCATCCAGTTGCAGCCCTCCACTGATAAAAGGAAATAAGATCCTGATATGCTGCCATAGAAACAAGTGTTTTTGCCAGGTTTTGCATTTAAACAGCCTATGGCTGCTGAATTTACAAAGCTAATCTGCCTATTGCCTGTCTCTGTAACAGCCCAAAACACAGCTCTCATCTCTGAAATTTATACATTCACAGTCTGCTCTTCTCTTTCTTTCCTAGGATTAGCTGCAGCATTTCCTATCAGCCACAGATTAAAACAGCAAATCTCTTTGTTGCATATCATATGCTAGCAATCTCCATTTGTGGTCTGAAAATGCTTCATAATCCTATTTGCTGTTTGGCTCAGACGATAGAGCCCTTTGGATTTGGTTTCATGTCTTTGGAAAGTGCTAGATATTTCTCTTAGACTGAGATACACAATCACTGTGCTGAGGGCAAAGCTAAACAAAAAAATAAACAACAAACACCACCAGAGACAATCCAGAGCCTCCTGCAGTATTGTCAAGGATGAATGGTACCAACCCAGCAGCATAATAATGCTGAAGGTAAAACTCTGACCCGGGTGTGACAGCCTAGGACCTGCCAGGTGAATGCCTCCCAACAGGGAAGCCGCTCTCAGATTCCAACTAAAAGTTAAAATGGGTGTAAGAAAAGAAAAGGGAAGGCAGGTTTTCCTCAGGAACTCTTCCTCTCCAAGACACTCCTGGTAGAAGCAAGACACACTGCATCCAGCTTGTCACTCCTGGGTGAGTCCTAACTGAGATTTCTGCAGATTTGCTCTTACTTTCCACATTCTATTTTGCAAACTCTGCTCCTGCAGATTTAGACAGCAATAATTTTTAAGCACCACTGGGAAATTACTTTCAATAGTGTGGAGTGGCAATTATATTGGTATAATAAATCCATATTGTGATATTGGCTTTTGCAGGTATTAAGAAGAATGCTATATGTTACATGCTTTTGTTATGACTTTTTCTCCTGCTAGCAAGTCTTAAGCATAGGTCAAGAAGAATTTTGGACGTTAGGGCTAAGTCCTGTCTGTGCAAAGCAAGATAACCTCCAGGAAACAGATGATGGGGCCCAGGCTACTATCAACACTAACTGCCTGCAGAAGAAGGAACCCCAGTCCAAATAAAAAAATGTGATAAAGGGAAATAAATTTTCACACTGGGAGTGCCTGTACATGCGTTCCCTGTACTGGAGTTTTAAATTCTGGCAGTGGCTACAATTCTTCTCCTTCAACTAAGATACAACATGTGAGTTTTTCCAGTTGTCAAAACAGGTTTAAGGTCAGGTGGAAATACCTGTAATATTGCATCAAGTTTTGTCACTGTTCTAGAATTGCATTCATTACAGAGCATGTCCCAACCCCCACTGTCACTAGAACATTGTTCTGTGCATTGAACAGAACAGAGACATTTTGGGCTCCCTTGCTGGGGAAAAGCCTCTTTACACACAGGCTGTCCCAAAGTTTGAGACTCTTGCTGAATCTCTTAGTATTGTGCAGTACAGAAGTTAATTCTAAGTACTGGGTGATAACGGGGGTCAGAACATTCATTTAGAAAGTTCAGCTTCTGAGTAAACCCCCCAGCACTGTGTACTAATGAAATAAAAGGCTGAAAATTTTGAAATTTCCTGTGCTCAATAAAACCACAATGGACAAATAGTACCAACTTGTCATTTGAATATTTTATGAGAGCACCAAGACAAAAATTGAAGAGGTAAATAGCTCAGTATTTGTCTTTTCAGAACTGAATTTTCAATTCAACTTTATATTTAAGAAAAACAGATTTGCTAAAAAATGCTAATAAAATGTATTATTTATTTTAACACAGATTTCAACATAGATCAAATGTAGTAGCATTATATTCTATAAATATTTTTAGTATAAATTGCTTAAAATATTGAAAAACTGGTTCTGGAAAGTAAATTTCTTCAGTGGAACCTGACTGTAAGTGTGCAAAACTGAAGTAACATCTTTTCCTCTTGAAATCTTCAAAAGTTCTCACTGTTTGACTTGTCTTAAGAACTACCCTGCCAGTCCTGATCCCACATCATTTGCCTGTTCCAGACAAAAATAGGGCCTGCAATGCACCAAAATTCTCCTGCTGATAGTAACAGAGTAAAATTATCATGATCCCGTTTTGTATATCTCTAGAAACAATTACAGTTTACTATAGCAAAGTGAACTCTTGATTTTTGATTCTATTAAGTCAGCAAACTGATTTTGTGAGTCCTGCAGCTGAGCCTTGATATCTCCCATTAAATCAACTCTTTCTTTATGGTCAGAGCTGAAATCTAACAGAATAAGAATAATATGATAATGAAGGAAAAAGGACAGATTCTACTTTAATTTGTCCCTGTGTCTGATAAGCAGACATTCAAGTGAAATAAGGTGATTGGTCCTAGCCAAATATTGATTGAGTCTTGGGAAAGTTCTCCAAAATCAAAACAGAGAATTAAAAGCAGAATTAAAGAGCATTTAAATTTGCTGGACTTCTACAGGGTTTCCTTGAAATTTGGAAGTGGTGCTTCTAAAAGAGAGAAAATCCCCATCATATGTGTCACAGGAATGCACAAACTTTGCGAGCCTGTGGATTAACAACGTAATGACCTTTACAATTTAACAGTTAAACATGCCTGTTCACACCAGCACAGTTCTCAGCACAAAAATGTTTCACAAAAACCAAAATAAAATGTTTCACAAAAACCAAAATTTGTCTGTATTACTTACTCTTTCAAGAGATCTCTATTTTCACATATCTCGTCTTCCAGTTTTAAACTGAGTTTTTCATTTGCAAACTAATTTCATAGGGAACAAATAGGAAACCACATCATTAGTGAAGAATATACTTGAAATACACTTTTGTTTCTCAAATCTCATGTGGAAAAGTAATTTTGTTGATCAAAAGATAGAAGTCTATTTTGTCTAGTATTCCCTGCTGCACCTTTTGCAGGAAAGGCAGAAAAGAAACAATAATTTACCAGCAACTGAAACACTTGCAAGTTCTTCATCCACACATTCACGCAGGACAGGCGCACACCCCTACTCAGAATAATCACTTTCTCAATGCAAAAATCAACATGCAACATCCTTTAATATTAATTGTACTAGTAATATTGTTCTGCTAAATTAAGAAGCATTTTCTCTTCATCTACTCAATGTATATTGTACAATCCTGGCCTGCAATTCTTGAATGGCTTTGTGCTGTGCTTCAATAACTTTTCTATTTTCTTGCACTTTCTGGTTTAGTTCTGATTCCACAGTTTCCACTGCTTCATCTTCTCAGGCTCTTTGTAGAGTTTTGAGTACAATTTTTTCATTGTTGTACTCTAAAACAAGATCCACAATTTAATCTCAAATGCTATTTCATTAATGATGTTATAAATAACTATTTATCTCTTAGAAACATGACAAGAGTAAATTCTTTCCCACAGAGGGTGCCATGAGCTTATGTATATGATTAGGAACTGAAGTTTAAATCTTTGTGCACTGACTGGGTCTGCATGAACAGACTTTGCAGGACAAGGAGGAGAAGTTTAGTGCTCAGGGGTATGAAAATCAGTAGGCAAATGGCAAGAAAAAAAGTTCCATTTTGTGGCAGCTAAGAGCATTTTGCATCTGGGAAGCACAAAAGCTACTGAAAAAAAAGCTTTGCTAAGTTGTACTGAAGCAGAAATTTGCTAAGTTGTACTGAAGCAGAAAAATGTTGATGAAGGCAATGTGGGAAGAATTAAATTCTTGAGGACACCACTCCACTAAATTAATTGTTTATAGATAAAATAAAGCCAGACAGTGAAATATATTTGAATAATATATATGAATAATCTATTTCAATTTTCCCAAATAATATTTTGACTTCAATCCTTCTACCTTTCAACAAACTGTTCAGAACAACAACAAAAAAACTAACAAACTTGGAATCACCTTAATTTTTAAAGTTTTGTCTCTGAGCATGTTCCCTGAACCACAAATATCTCCTCTAAGTGATTCAGATGTAAACAGGAAACAGAAAATTATTATTCCCCTTTGCCTTCTTACTTAGCCTTGAAATATCCACTGAATGATGCTTTAGGAACTGTTTGTGAACAAATTAAGAGGCCCTAAGAATTTAGAATCTGAACTATGAAGTGATTTCAGCATATTTTAAAAAACAACTAACATTGAAACTGTATTTAACATTTACAGCTAAGACTACTCATTGATATTAAAACTCAACAATATTAAAAAATGTTAAAGAATGTGCAAGGTAAAGTTTATTTTAGTTTTATGTGAATCGGTGATTTTGCCACAGTACAGGGATTTAATGGCAAATTAAAACCATCACCTGTTAAAACTGCACAAACTTAAGAGTTTGTTTCCTATGGGTAGATTTGTAAAGAAGGATTATAAAATCCAGAAGAAAAAAAGAAATTACAACTAACATGAAAATACATTTTTAAAAATTAATAAATTTTAATTTTTGCCTGCAATTTTTGAAATTACCAGAATTTACCAGAAATGGTAATGGGTTTGGAACTTGCTTACTTTGTACTTCACAGTAGCTTTTCAAACCACTGGTTTTTTGTAGTTTTCTTTATAGGCTGTGGTCAGAGTGGAAGATTTTGATGAGGAGAAATCATCAGCTGCTGTCTGTCTGTGCATGGGTGCATGATAAAGGATTCGGGAAGCAAAATGATTTCTTTAAAGTCCAGTAGTTGATATTTATTCTTTTCTTTACTCCCATGGATAGTTTTAAACACCGCATCTGACTATGTTTTTGTATGAAAATGCCATTTTACAAGGTTTTCAAGTCACAAAAAATAGGATAAATAGTGTAACTCATCTCCTGTAAGAATATTGCATTTGAATCTAAACATATTCCGTAAGGAACCTCAATATGAAACAATAATTTGTTTAATTCGCATAACTCAGTGTGGTGACAGGTTTTCACTGCACATTTGGTCTGGTGTAAGCAGGACTTCAAAGCCAGTGCAAGCATCCAAGTGGGGCACTGCTCACTGCTAAATCACACACATCAAACATGGATTTATCATCGGTGACGTGCAGTAACAACACAGAGCAGACGATCAGAGTATTTCCTTCAGTCTTGGTAGAGAATAACAGCAGATGCCTTTGAAATTAAAGTCAAAGACGTTCCCTTCAGCATCAATCTTGGCAGTCTGCAGAGGAATGAGTTCAGCAAATTTTACACACACACAGAACCATGGAATGGGTTGGGTTGGAAGGGACCTTGGAGCTCATCCAGTGCCATCCCTGCCATGGGCAGGGACGCTTTCCACTATCGCAGCTTGCTCCAAGTCCCGTCCAACCTGGCCTTGGACGCTTCCCGGTACGGGGCAGGATGTGCGTGCTCGGGTCAGGACTCTGCCTGGGGCTCCCAGCAGTGTCCCCGTGTCCCTGTCGGTATCCCCCGGCCCGTCCCAGCGTGGCCCGGGGCCGGCGCCATTGAGCGGACACAGCCCCACCGCCCCAGCGCTCGCCGCCCTTCGGCCGCGGGCCCTGCCCGGCACTCAGGCGCGGCCGCAAGAGCGGTTTGAACGG